GACCCGGCTACTGGTCATTAATACCCAACTATGACATTACTGTTAATAGGATGGCACAATATGCAATCAGTAGACGTTTTAAGTACAGGGCTAATTCTATCCGAACCGCATCCATACAGATATTGACGAAGAGTAACGGAATCCCTTTGTTCGTGACCGGGTACGTGGATTAGAGGCATCACCCATGTTATCTTACCGCGACCCTAGAGTTTGATTCACACTATACATCGGTCTGCCGAACACAGCCGCCCAAACTACTGGATAAGGTAGATTCTCGTAGGGGATCACAGAGTGCAAGCAGCAATGTTATCCGAAATGTACCATTTTCGTCTCGTGTTCGTTCTAATTTGACGCTACCCCGCAACAGAAAAATCGCCACCTGAAACTGAAGCCTTTATCAAAGTTGCGGCCCAATGTTGTCAAAAAATGCACACCCACTGTTTTTCTGTCTACGTTCCTGGGAGCACTGGTCTCTATTTCCGTTTGTTCGTTCAGATGTGACGTCAACATTTGCACTTCACAAATCCCAAACCCTAGAGAAACCTTGAGTTGTAGAGAGTAATACTACGATTTTAGAGTAATTGGCAGAGTGCATACCCAGGAGACCGCGGATTTCTGTTTGGCAAACAGCGGATCAACTTATCGAGTACTAGGTGACATTGGAGTCATCTAAATCTGAGTTGTCAAATCTGGTGAAATGTGTTTTCGCAAGTAATCGGACAAGTGAAGGTTCTTGTTGTGAACATGTCTACTGTTGTTTTCGCAGCGGCAGTCTCTCTGACAATAACTTTGTGAAATTTTAGCTTCACCAATGTAATGTAGGTGGGCTTTCCTGCACGTTTGAGTGACAGTTTGTGGCTCCCTTTACCTATTTATGGTTTCTAGGACTTTAAAGAAAAAGGCCAAACCAACCATAAAAGTGTTGCACATAAGTTTATAATTTCTCTTGTTGTTTGCCATCGAAAATGTTCAGTGAATTACGATCAGACAACTGATTTGGTTGGGTTTTATTCCTGTTTTGTGGACCACAGTCTCCTTAATACCTTCCTATTACCGTGAATCCCGGTCTGGTTAGCCGATTGATAGTCTGGTGCGCTTGGCCGAACCAGGAAAAGTCAATGAACGTGCAAAGCGGCCGATCTGCTCATCGCTGTCGCACATAAGCGGGTCAAAAATGTGATACTAAGAATACAACTCATCTGTCAAAGGCGACTGAAGAACAACCAATCAAAGCTGTCTCAATAAAAACGGTCATTTCATTGGCTGTTATGTAGTCTTGTTGCGTTTGAAACTAAATTTCCTAATATCATGTATTTTTCAAGAACTTCATTAGCATGACTTACGATCGCATCCAGAAGCTGACATTGGATGTAATAGAGTAGCACGTTTCTCATCGAAGGTTTCTGGAAACGGGAATATTTTCGCGGCGAAAATAATGACGAAAAGACCGCAGAATATAGCAAAATGTTGCTTCAATCCAACCAGTTTTGCGCAACCCACGGAAATACTGAAAATCCAATGATTCTGAGCATGCGAAGTCAAAATTCATTGCAAGGTAACAGATTGTCGTCCA